TATGGGGGTGCTCAGATCTTCATATTTGTCAAGCAAGTACTTTACCAACTGAGCCATCTTCCCAGCCTCTGAATTAACACACCTTTGAACCACCACTCAGGTCTCTTGGAAACTGAGGTTGCAGAAGCGGGAGCCTTTGAAGAATGTGGTTTTCATCTTGGCAGAAAGAGCCCGGGATCCCAATGCTGAAAAGCGCCATCTGGCAATGAGAGGCCTGGGCACCTTGGCCCGTGAAGCCCCTGACAAGGTAGGGAGAGGTGGAGTTGAGACAGCCTTCCCAAGACTCTAAGCTCCCGGGGCAAGGAGTCCCCCCTGCTGGAGCTGGTGCCAATGGATGGCTAACATTGTAACAAGTCACAGAGACCTAGCAACAAACACTGGTATCTGTGTTCAGGGGCCTGGGTATAGAGCTCAGGTTCTCGCAAGGCTGCAAACCACTGTTGTATGTCTTTCGAAAGCTCAGGGCACTTTTCTAAGAGTGGCTTTTTGCAGAACTGGCTCTTTCGGTGGTAGGACTGAGGTTTGTCTTCCCTTGCTGGCTGTCTGCTGGGGGCCACCCCTGGTACCCAGGCTCCTCACTCTCAAAACATGATATTCTGTCTCTTCAAGGTATCTCTCACTCCTGTCTGCTCTATGAGAGTCTTATATAATGTAGCTTAGCAACCAGGAGAGACATCTGGTTACTTTTGTCACATCAGGCTACAAGCAAGCCACCAGTTCTTTTTACATGGGAGAAGAACAGATTATATAAGGGTGTGACTCACTTGAGGTCCTTAAAGGGGTGGGGCATGGCATCATGCTTCAGCTCTGTCAACCTTGAGAAACGGAGCTACTGGCTCATATCACTCTCCTGGAGAGTTTAAATGATTTCCTCATCATTTTTGTTTGTTTAGTGAGAGACACTTTCAGACCCCATCCTTAGCACGTGTCCACATTGACACCATTTTATGTTCTGGGATACCCTTGTTAATCCTGTGCTCTTGAAGTCCTCCCCCACTCCATCACCCGGAGGCCTCATTCCTGTTTGTCCTTTCTGTTCTGTCCTCCTAAGACCTAGGAAGGCTCTTGGGCTGGGTTACAAGAGACATTTGTGTTTGGATAAGAGTTGGTGGCAAAGTTAGAAGAAAGTGCGTGTATATTATATATATATATTATATATTTTATTACATGTTCTATATGTAGATGATGTGAATAGAGAGAGCCCTACTTGTGAGGAGGAAGGGGAACAGCAAGAGGGGTGGGGGAAGGGAGGATGGGAAGGGTAGAGGGGGATGAAAATGAGAAAAATACAATAATACAGATGTTAAAAAGCCATATGAAACCTGTTATTTTTTTACATTAACTAAAAATAGTAATTTAAAGAAGGAAAAGAAAGTCAGGGCCTCTCAACCCCAACTTGAGGCTACTAGAAGATTAGGGCTGGAGTTGCTTTTCACTTTTAAGTATATGTATCACTGTGTGTGTGTGTGTGTGTGTGTGTGTGTGTGTGTGTGTGTGAGAGAGAGAGAGAGAGAGAGAGAGAGAGAGAGAGAGAAAGAGAGAGTTGTGTCAGTGTGTTAGAATGTGTATGTGAGTGTATGTGTGGTATATGGGTGTGTGTGTATGTGTGTATGTGTCAGTGTGTTAGAATGTGTTTGTGAGTGTGTATGTGGTGTGTGTGTGTGTCAGTGTGTTAGAATGTGTATGTGTGTGGTATGTGAGTGCGTGTGTATGTGTGAGTATGTGTCAGTGTTAGAATGTGTTTGTGAGTGTGTGTGGTATGTGAGTGTGTTAGAATGTTTGTGTGTATGTAGTGTGTGTGTGTGCTTGTGTGTCAGTGTGTTAGAATGTGTTTGTGAGTGTGTGCATTTGTGTGTGTGTGTGCGTGCACATGTGTGTGTGTGCGTGTGTTTGGTATATGTATGTGTGATGCTAATGCTTTCCCAATAGCAGGTGAGAAGGTACAAAAAAGTTTTCCTTGACCTCCTGGTGCATGGACTGTATGATACCCTGTGTTCTGAAGTGATCCACGAGAGTGTGAAGACCCTGACCATCATGCTGGGCAAGATCCAGGGCCAAGGCCTGGGCTCCTTCTTCATAGACATCACCCTTCAGACCAGGACTTTACTGGATGATGTAAGTGAGAAGAGTAAGCATAAAACCTTGGGCTGTGAAATCATCCTGGGTTACAAAGGAGAATCCTGAGTCATGTGGTGGTGGCACACGCCTTTAACCCTGGCAGAGGCAGAGGCAGAGGCAGAGGCAGAGGCAGAGGCAGAGGCAGAGGCAGAGGCAGAGGCAGAGGCAGAGGCAGAGGCAGAGGCAGAGGCAGAGGCAGAGGCAGAGGCAGAGGCAGAGGCAGAGGCAGAGGCAGGCTGATCTCTGTGAGTTTGAGGTTTGTCTGGTCTACAGAGTGAGTTCCAGAACAGCTAGGACTGCATAAAGAGACTCTATCTCAAAAAACAAAGACAAAAAGAAATGAGAATCCTGGGTAGTGTGGTTTCTTAGGAACAAGGTCTGCATCACTCACTAATTTATGAATTTTATTGAGAGGAGTTATGGGTGGGAGTTATGGAGAACATAAGAGATACATAGCAACCTATAACTCCTCTTGAGGAGTTTTCATGTCAATAGGCAAGAGTATATGCACACTAGTGATGACAACAGTGATGGCGATGATGCCAGCCTGTGCTCAGTACGCCCTTCTATGTAACAAGTTAGCATTTAGTGAATCCTTCCTGTGTGTCATTCACACTGTCAGGGAATTGCCATGGACACTTATGCAGTCCTTACAACAACATCTTTGGTGGGTGCTACAATGATCTTTATTATAAAATGAGGAAATGGAGGCCCAGAAAGATGAGGACCCGCCTACAGTTCACAGAGCCAGCATGCATCTGGAAAGTGGCCTGTAGCCCTGCCCTGTTAGCCACAAGATAAAATGCACCTACCAAGCAGTGCTTGGGTGCAACATGTAGTCCATAACTGACTTGCAGGTGTCAATCAGCCTGCCACTGTCTCTCTATCAAAGACAGCACCTGTCAGACATACCTCAGACCTTTATTTATCATAACCCAGAGCAACTTCCACCCATCCCTCCCACCCAATTCCCCCCCTGAAGCCACACAAAGAAAAGGAGAGACACTGAGCTTACAGAGCTCAGGACTTCGATCAGGGCTGCTGGCACGTGCTTGTTAGTGCTCATCCTCCCTCCACATGGACAGATGTTAATATTTCAGTGGAGATGGCCCATGCTGGCCTGGAACCCAGTGGATATATAGCCCAGGCTGGCCTTGATCTCATGGCAGTCTTCCTGCCTCAGGTCCTGAGTGATGTTATTGCAGGCATGAATCACTACCCTTTCCTAGATGTTTGCTGTTGAATGCAAACCTATCTTGTCTGAGAAGGAGGTAGGAAGATGTCTACATTACCACCCTAGGATGTCAGCACAAATCTTGAGGACATATCCTTAAATCCTTCTGGTGCCGACTGAACTTCAGTTGATTTTTATTCAGCTACTTTTAAAACCTACCTTGTAATGCATGTAATTTCTTTTTAGGAGAATTCTTAGCCACGTAGAAAAAGAAATCCTCACTCAGCACTACCTATTGGCAGAACCTATGTGAGAGTTACACTTTAAACACGGCCTGCTTCATGCCATGTTTGTCAAGATGTGTACCCCCCCCCCACTAGATGATTGTCACACTTTTGGGAGACAGGAATCTGGCTTATACGTTCCTGTACATAGGTCTCAGGGGAGGGTTGACTTGCAGCAAGTTCTCACTAAATTTTATTTAAACCTACTTACACACTGGTCTGAACAATAAACAGAATTCCACCCCAAGGCAATATACATGAGTCACTTATGCTAAAATCTATTTTTGAATAGTTCACAAAATGATCAGTGCTATCTCAGTCTTTGTGACCACGTCTAGATGCTTCTTTCTCTTAGAAGCAGCTCACACCCTGTTGTCTCTGGTTTCTCTGGAGCCTGGACAGGACCTTGAAGTGTTGATATAAAAATCTGTACCAGCAGGGTGGTGGTGGTGCATGACTTTAATCCTTGCACTAAGGGAGGCAGAGACAGATGGATCTCCGTGAGTTTCAGGCCAGCCTAGTCTACAGTGTGACTTCCAGGACAACTAGGACTGTTATACAGAGAACCCTTGTCTTGAAAAACCAAAACCAAACCAAACCAAAACAAGACAAAAGAAAAATCTGTGTACCAAAGTCAGGAGACTGGGCTGCCTACGTTGGCTGCCTATCTTGTATTATGACCATGAACAAATCCTGCTATTCTCTGAGCCTTGATCTACTTGCCTCAGATGTGTGGAGCAAACAGTTTATGTGGAGAGAGAGGCTGATGGGCTCCCAAGGAAGCGCTAACAGATAAGAGTAGAGTCAGGGAGAGTGTGAGGGGGTTGGGGGAAGAAACAAGATCTTCTTAAGCAGCAGAAGAAACTCAGTAGGGAGAGGAGATAAGGTTAAAATGATGGGAGGGAAGAAGAGGGGGAGAGGAAGAGAAGAAGGAGATGAGGAGGAGGGAGAGAGAGGGGGAGAGAAGAAGGGGACATGGAAAAGGGAGGGAAAGGGAAAGGAGATAAAAAATTGAGAAATGAAAGTAGGAAATTTTTAGATGATAGCATGGAAGCCACTCCCAGATTGAAAGAAAAACCAGCATGCCTATCAGCACTGGTGATGTCTACTTTTAATGTGCAGCTCAGAATGATAGTTGTGATCTGCGCTGATGGAAATCCGATATAGTGATCCGGCTTTGTTTCTTTTTGTTTGTTTTTATTGATGGAAACCCACAGGAGAATGACAATGTGCGGTACTCGGCCTTTGTTCTATTTGGGCAATTGGCTGCGTTTGCTGGGCGGAAATGGAAGAAATTTTTCACCCACCAGGTTAACCAGACACAGGATTCTCTCCTGACCCATTTACAGGACAAAAGCCCTCAGGTTGCCAAGGTGAGACAGCCAATCTTAGCTCACTTTGTGAAATCTCTGCTGTCCCTAGAGGGGGTGGTGGCAGCTCTGCTAAGTGGAGAAGCCAAGCTCTGGAGTTCCTGCCCGTTAGAATGACCTATAGGGTATCTATGTAAATAAAGCTGGGCAAAGGGGCCTCCAGGGTACAGCCTCCCCAACTTCTTCTTCTTTGACCTGTCTCTGCCCAATCCAAAATCTGCTGGTGCTAGCTAGATAGGTAAGGCCAGGTCCCCAAAGGATGACGGGACTGGGTGAGATGCACCTTTCCTGCCTGGGATTCTAGAATTCCCTAGTAGTTTGGACAAATGGAAGGCAATGTTATTTTCCCTCAGGCTTGCAAAATGACTGTTCGAGCCTGTGTTCCGTATCTGAAACCCAGGAGGGAGCAGTGTTTCCAAAGTGAAGAAGATCAGAGGAACCCCAGGCTTTCCCGGCAGCTGGTGAGTGAGCCAGGGCAGGAGAGTATTCTCCTGGGAGTCCCTTACCTTCAGGCACTTAACACGGAAAGTGAGGCAGTGCAACAGGAAGTTACCTCCTCCTACTACCTGAAATAGCTCAGGCTAGTATTGCAATTGCAATGGATCCATAGGGCAATGTAAACAGCAAGATTCCTGAAAGATGATACACAGTATTATCATTCCATCAGTTCTAGTCATTGGCTGCATCCACTCGTGCCCCTTCTCCCGGTGTCCTGTGTGTCAACCTCCCTCACACGTACCTTTTCTAATTTCTTGCAGAGCCATTATCATCCTGAGGTTCTGCTGTTCCTCTATGCTAATAAAATCCTCTAAGTCCAGAGAGGCAGAGGAAATGGCTCCATGTGAGTGACCAGCTCCGGGCATCCTGTTCCTGCTGCTGTCTCATTGGGTACCTCTTTGACTCTTCTCATGTGACTGCTACAGAAAAGAGGATGTCAGAGAGCAACTGAGGGGGCGGGGGATTACTCTGGAAGTGTACTCTGCACCCAAAGTAAAATTCTACATTACTTCCACGGATCTCATTTCTTCCCTATACAAACAAATTTGTTGACAGGTATATGCTTCCTTTTCTAAATTGTGTGTGCGTATGCACATATATTCACATGATTGTGGAGGTCAGAAAACAATGTCAGATATTGTACCTCAGGCATCATCTATCTTTCCATTGAATCAGGGTCCTTTAACTGCCTGGGACTTGCAGATTAGGCTAGGCTTGATGGCTAGTGAGCCCCCCAGGATCTGACTCTTCCACTGAGCACTGGATTATAACTCTACTCCAGTGAACCCAGCTTTTTATTTTTCAAGTCTTCTCTCAAATATTAGATCACTCATATTTTATATCTCCACCACAGTTTCCCCTCTATCCATTCCTCCCAGTCTGTCCCCAACCTCCTCTCTTCCAAAGATCCACTACTCCTGTTTTCCTTGATGGGGGGGGGGCAGTTTTCTCAAGGATATCAAACAAACATGGTTTAACAAGTTACAATAAGACTGGGTAAAGCCGGGTGTCAGTGGCGCACGCCTTTAATCCCAGCACTCGGGAGGCAGAGGCAGGTGGATCTCTGTGAGTTCGAGACCAGCCTGGTCTACAAGAGCTAGTTCCAGGACAGCCTCCAAAAGCCACAGAGAAACCCTGTCTTGAACCCCCCCCCCAAAAAAAAAAGACTAGGTACAAACTCTCATATCAAGGCTGGATGAGGCAACCCAGTCAGAGGAAAAGGGTTCCAAGAGCCATAGGGGTTGAGGATACCATGAGAACAAGGCCCACAGAATCAACTAAGTAGGGCTCATAAGGGCTCACAGAGACTGAAGTGGCAAACATGGACCCTGTTTGGGTCTGAGCTAGGTCCTTTGTATATATGTTATGGTTATGTAGCATGGTGTTCTTGTGGGACTCTCAACAGTGGGAGTGGTGGGTGTGTGGGTGTCTCTGACTCTTTTATTTTATTTTTAATTGTGGGTTCTGGGGCCATATTTAGGCCCTTGCACTGACTTGTACCAACTAAGCCATGGCCCCAGCTCAGTAGCCACACACTTCTTTAAAAACATTTAATGTGTAGAATGTTCCAGAGTGCCTTTCTCATTTCCTGTCTGTCAGGTAACATGCCATTTCTAACAGGTAACTTCTGAGGCTTGGGAGAATAATTCGTACCATAAACATTTTAACAGTGTATTTGTTTTTGATGGTTTGCTGTTTGCTTTTGACATCTTTTTGTGTCAAGATGCCAAGAAGGTGGTTTGCAAAGTATCTTCAATTTCTCATGATCTTCTAATGTCATTGTATGAAAGATCATCTTTTAAAAAACCAACAATGAAAAGAAATATTGTCAAAAATCCACAGGATGATGATAACTTACAGAATAAAAACAGTGACATTTACTGAGAGTGCTTATAACATATTGGGTACTGTGGTGGTTTGAACGAAAGTGGCCCCATAAGCTCATATATTTGAGCTTATGTGTGGACCAGGAAAGCTATTGGGACAGATGCTTGGTTCCCAGTTAGTGGAACTGTTTGGAAAGCATTGGAAGGTGTGTCTTTGTTGGAGTAGGTGTCTCACTGAAGGTGGACTTTGAGATTTTAAAAGCCCACACCAGGCCCAGTGTCTCTGTCTTTGTCTCTCTCTGTCTCTGTCTCTCTCTCTGCCTACTGCCTGTGGATCACAATGTGAAGTTCTTAGTTACAGATCCAGAACCATGACTGTCTACTTCCTGCCAGGATAATCATGGACTAACCCTCTAAAACTGTAAGCAAACCCCTAATTAAATGCTTCTTTTTATAAAGGTTGCCTTGGTTATGGTGTCTCTTCAGAGCAACAGAATAGTAACTAAGATAGGCTCTCATTACTTGTTGAAAGTATCATTAATGCAACAACTGCATGCAATAGGTGCTATTACCTCTTTATTGGGAGTGGGCACATGCCTCGGTGTGTGTGTGTGTGGATGTCAGAGGACAACTTGAGGGAGTCAATTCTCTCTTTTCACCATGTGGGTTCCAGGAATTGAACTCAGGTGGTCAAACTTGACAGCAAGCACCTTTACGTGCTGAGCAATCTCACTGGCCCTGGGATAGGTGTTACTATAGCTTTTATTTCATGGGTGAGAAACAGGAAATTAAGCAACTTGCCCAAAATCAGTAGGACTAGACCTTAGATCCATGTGATCTGATTTCTGGAACCGAAGCTCAATTATTCTCCATCAAATCATTGGTGGGTGATTAGAAATGTGAAGAACAAACGCTGGACACCATCACCCACTTCTGCTCTTCTATTCAACCCAGATAATTCTTACTCTCGTCTGCACGTACCAAGACTTTATAATCAGTGGTTATTTCTAAAGTTTTCCTGCTCCTGAAAGGCCAGCTTGTAGCAGGTCAGAGAGACTGGAGAGAGGTGTGGACCAGGAAAGCTATTGGGACAGATGCACAGACACACAAAGGAACTTTATCTGAGGGCTGAAGCTTAATTCTTGATTTTATTTTTCTCTCGGCCAGTTGTTCTTTTTACTTTTTTTTTCTGTTTTGAGTTTTACCCTGTTGGGTTTTTTTTAGATTTTTCCTTGCCAGTTGCTCTCATTCTACATCTTTCCTGATGTTCTCCTTTTAACTCTTTTCTGATGTCTTCCTTCTATTTCTTCCTTGATGGTTTTCTCCTGCATCTTTCCTTCTTCTATCTCTTGTTTTTTTTATTCCTTTTATACTTCCTAATACAAAGATTTCTATGCAAGAAAAGATTACTTCACAACCACAAGTTACATATTCTCCAAAAACAAACTAAAATCTTCACACAGAAATCACATGAAGATAATAAGGCACATGTTTTTTCTTAAAAGTCCACAAAGCAATGATTTCTTTATAATTAATTAACAAAGTTTTAAGCAAGCTAAGTATTTTGTTTTGTTTTATTTTGTTTTTTTTTTTTTTGTTACCAGAAGACAGCTGTTGCAGTTCAGTGTAACAGATTTCTATTCTAAGAAATAGAATTATAGAATTTCTATTCTTAGAAGTTTCTCTAGAGAAACTTTAAACCAATGGTCAGTTCACCATCTGTTTTCCTTTACACACAATAGGGTCATTTAATTTTAATAACTTTGTTTTTTTCAAGGTACATACTGGGGCCTGTGATCAATTCTGTAAATTATAAGACCAAGGATTTAGGCCTAACCTTGCTTGGGTGTAGGGAAAGAATTGTTCTCTTTAGTTTTTTCCACAGGTAGGATTCATGGGTCTATAATGCACGAAACCCCCTTGTTCATATTTTTCATTCTCTGAAAATCTCATATCTAACAAAGGGGAAGGTGACTTCTAGCCTATTTTTTTTTTGCCTTTTTTGTGTCTCTTATTGGAACAATTGGCAGAACAATTACTAACTGTCCTAACCACTTGTATCTTGGGCTAATTCAGAAAGACCAATTAAATCATAGATCTAACCAACCGTCATTGCTCTTACAAAACTGATCTTCATTATGATCTGCAAGTAAATTGCCCAACGAGGAGTGGGATTTTCCCATGAAACCATCACACTATACTGGATACAGTGGGAATCCTTTCACATAGTAATCACACCTTGCCAAATATAGCAGGAACATGGCAGCAGCAAGCAGGAGGAAGCATAGTGGAAGCAAGGGGCATTCTGGAGACAATTCTCCTGGGGCTTTGCCTCTCCATGATGTACCCAGAGTGGCTTTGTCATCCTCTGAGCTCTGTTCCACAAGCTCCATTGTCTGCAACTCCTCTGATATGGCCACTGGCATTCACCTATACATCCATTCCAAATCTATAGTTAATTGTTTGAACCAAATATACAATTTTATTAATCAATTATTGACTGATGTTTTGGTGACCCATCCTCAACATTATCACTCTTATAAAAAATTGCATCCAGGTGCAATAATATGCATATTTCTAGTCCTGGCTATTTGGAAGAATGAAGTGGAAAGATCACTTAATGGCATGAGTTCAAGACTGGCCTGGGTAGTATGTTGTCTCCATATCAAAGCAATCTTTTTCAAGAATGAATTGTTCAGTTCCTCCTTCCTACTAACCAGTTTACTTCCCAGGCTTCTCTCACCACAGTTCTGTTGCCCTCACTGTGCACAGTCACTCCTGGAACACTGTGTTCAGTTTGGGAACTGGAAAGATCAACAGAGATAGAGAACACAAGAGGTTATTAAAACACTGAGGGGTCTGAAGAGCCATTCTCAGAACTGGGAGAGCAGTTTCTGTGCTGTCCCCAAGAAATGTAGAGATGAGGGTGTCCTGGAAGAGAAAGAATGCATGCAGAGAAGGCAGAAGTGATAGCAGGTGCCAAGAACCACTAGGGTTTCCTCCTTCCAGTCCTGTAGCTTGTGACAGCAGGAATTGTAAGCAGCGACTTACACTGAACAGCAGGTGCCATGGATCTGAGTCATGAGCTCTTTTCTTCCCCAGATACTGGATTGATAAGGCTGCTAGATAGGTTTTGAAGCTAGTGCTGTTTAATGATAGCTGTTTAATGATCAGCAAGTGGCATGAGAAGCAACTGAATTTTGATGAGATTCAGAAATGGCTGTGGGGTTGCATGCTCTGCAGTAGGAAAGATAATGTCGCTAATGTCCCTCAGTTGATATTCGATGCTGAGTTTCTGTAGTAGCCCATTGTTACTATACCCAATGAATTCCCCGTCGTAGCCATGCCCTGTGTAGCTTTCTGTTCTTGAATCTATGTTCATACTGAGACATGCTTTACCCATCAGAATATGGTGAAAGTACACTGTGCCCATTCTAGAAGCCCTGGCAGCTTCCTCTTTTGCAGAAGGCCAGCCTCTGCCTAAGACACATTAACCACAAATCCCTGAGATCACCTTGGGGAGACATGGGAATCCAGCCCACAGCAATGTCTGAGACCCAGAACCAGGACACAAGCTGAATGGTCCATTCACACCCCAGTTCTTCGTGCTTTCTTGACTGACACCACAGGAAGACAAGGAGCCATCTCCATCAGGCTCATACATGTTGTAGAACTGAGAATAAGGAATCA